ATAAAGAAATCATAGTAAGTCAATATCATTTTCCATACCCATTTCTTCAATTTTATCAATTAAAAGTTTTGTCATGGGCACTTCCCGTGAAGCTGCTGTACTGGACTCTTGTTTTGACCAGTTGATGGTTAGTATGATCTTGTTGGTACTACAAATAAACATAWAAATAATTATAGAATTATTGATCAATTCTTATTACTACAGTAAGGTAGTTTAGAAATTTCTAGGGATGTGAAGGTTCAYATATCCATTTTTTTCTTGCATAGAATGGAAGCCAACCTCAAAATATTCAGTTATGATACCCCTGTGGCACACCATAACTATGATTCGGTATAATAAGTTGTTTTCTTATGACTTTTTTYAAGACAGARTTAGTAAATATCAACACTTACTAATATGACATAGCTGTAACTGTAGTATGTTGGGCATTTCTGGAGGAATCATGTCTGGCATCAGTTATTATAATCYAAAATAAAAATGATATAAGTTCTGTTTTATAGTTCTAAAAGTTCTATAATATAAACTAATGAAACATATGGTTGTATATTGGTTTTATCTCTTTATGAAGTGTTAGAATTACCCATTCTGATTGTTACTCAACCYTCTTATTGTAAGACTGATCATGCACATGCATACTCAATATAGCTACTAGAATATGGCTATATATTACCATTATTCTCAGTATTTATATCCCACACTCAAATATAACCAAAAAACTTTCAATGAATGAAAAAAGAATTGGAGGATATTACTTACATCACCATCATTGTCAACATATGCCTGTTCTTTTTGAATATCTTCTATWACAGATTTTATGCCATCCTCATATACAGATTGTACAGCAGAAAGATAACCCAATTTATTGAAAACTAAAAAAAGATCAACAATGAGGAAATATACAAACAGGGCATAAGCTAACATAATTTTAAAATATTAAAATGTCACAAAACGTTTTATGAATGAATGAAATGGTTTGTGAATCGCATGCATGTAGGAAAAGAATGAAATCAAAATAGGATCAAATAGAAAAATAAACTATAACATAACAAAAGTAAACAGAAATAAACTTGTCTTGTTATGTAGTGAGTTGGATCACACGGGTATCTCTGGTTCAACATTATATCAACCCATCATACGAATGCTTTTGAGCTGAGCTGAAAGATAAATTATATGGCATTATAAATAATGGTTATATCGTACCAATGCTATAAATAACCATGCATGCGTGCATAAAAGTAAGTTTATAAAATGAAGTGCAATTAGCTTTTCATATTAGCTTGTAAACTAACAAAACATCTAATATTATAAGCTTACCTGAATCTAAATATGTATGTTCAACTGAGCCAAGAGAAGCTGCTTCGGTGAAACCACGATATTGTGTTTCAGTTAGCCCAGAGCTCATGAATCCATGAATTACTCTATAGCAATAGAACATAATTATTACTTATTTTGAGAGCCGAAAAAGCAAGTTAGCTTGGCTTACTAAAAAATGCAGTGCTCACCTGAGGTTTGCAACGTATTTGGACTTCAAGATTGGCGAACTAAACCAGACAGTTTCGTGGTTGTTTTCGCATGTGAAACTAATACGGCCACAATGCCCTCTTCTTTCCATCTGGAAGCTATCAAGAAGTAAAAACCCACCACAAACAGAACAGCATCCTTTGGACCCCGTCAAGCCCTTCACCAGGCTACGAATTGTAGCTTTACAAGCGATAAAGTACTTTCCGTCGTCGTCCTCCAGAGCTGTGTGGATTTCTACTTTTGAAGGCTCATGACCAGAGGAAGGAGAAGGTGGAGCTATAACTGGAAGTTTTACATCTATTGTCCCAGACGTATCCGGCCGACCGGCATCACTCTTTTTCTCACGATGGGAGTCGTAAAAATCTATAAGCTTCGGAATCCATGAATAATTATTGCATTCGCCCAGTAATTTTTTCGATTCCGCTATTCTGGCGCGAAGTAAGGAGAGTTTCTCCTCGTTATCTTCAAATTGGAGAGTAGATCTCGATCTTTTTCGACTTTCTTTTGCTGCCATTTTTGACACCAACAGGAAGACAACATGAAAACTTATAAAGTGTCAAAGCTGCCAGTGTTTTCCCGCGCAAACATGTGTCAACACTTGGAGCAAAAGGCGGGAACAATATGTTGCTTTTTGTGAGTTTCTTGTCACGGCACAACT